CCTTCCAGGGGAAAGCAACGCGATACCGAACAACTAGCCTGAAATGGATGCTCTACTGTCTCTTGTGAGATCATTGGGCTCATTAAAATGACTGGACTCGCCCCCACGCGGTGTTTTAGCTTTTTACCCATAAAATTGTTCGAGGCTGTAGGGGTCTGAGAGGCGTTTTCGACGTTCCCTTTATCATTTTCTTTTTATAGATAAGTCACCTGACAACTTCTGCTTCTTATCACCGTTAACTACGCGCACCGTGCCTTCAATGGCAAAAGGAGGAGAAATGGTGAGCAAACACCTATTATTTCGGACTGGTCCGGACTCGACGGGCGGAGCCAAAAAGGGAAAAAGAGATTAGAGGGATTTTGCAGCTCGGTAAATGGCTGGTTCCTCACCGAGTCGTACGAGCCCTCCACCCTTCCTAGGCAAGGAGGCGCGCGCGGCCGCGCATGCCAAACGGATGCTTCAGGGCGGACGCGGGCAGTCTGTATAGCCCTAGTAATCAAAAGGACCTCTTAGTAGCCAAACTGAACCTAACTAATAAATCGCAACACGGTAACAGCAATCCACACGGACTCCGAAATCTTTCTTGTGGGGAAGAGACAGTCAGAGTGGCCCTTCTCCATCACACCTTCTATGGCCTCAGAGAAGAGCTACAGTGGTGCACATTCGACGTGCGTCATCTAGCGAAGGGAGCACTTCCAAGCCACTCGAATGAAACGCAACAACATTGCCGGGTTAATTAAAGAGTTCTGGAGTCCGACTCGCGAACCGCATACATGGCTCCGCTTGAAACGCCTTCACCCTAAGCAACGCGGAAGGAGTGAGATTTCACTCGCTGGCTCTGCCGATCCACCATTTCCGGAAGCGTTCGTAAACAAATCTACGGGTAGTACACTGCCTTGACATGTGTTGCTAGCAAATAAAAGCTACTCACAATCAGGCAACCAGATGCCAATGATAATTCTTGTTCCCCTCCGATCATTCCAATATACGAATAGCAGCCGGAACCGCTCGAAGACTCTTATACGATTCGTTTGCCGTGGCACTCTCAATAAAAGTGATGCATGTACGAGCTTGAAGATATTTCAGCGTCGTTCTAACAAATGATTGTGTGAGCAGCAGCTGGAATGAAATGTATGAAGATGGCCTCAGAGCGGTGACCACGAGAGAAACCTACAATAGTTTGCATCGAAGTGATAATACACTTTGTTGTTTGTCCATTTGATGGCAGTAACAGAGATCTGTCGCTTTGTACGTGTGGGATTCTCGGCTGCACGCTATCCGTGTTGGCAAGTTAGTTCTCGGTAAAGCGAGTATAATTAAAAAGAAGCAATATTCGAGAACAAAACCCCGTCGTCCTATATACACTACATAGTGTGGGAATGATTCCTCCCGGGGCACCGCCTAGAGTTCCGCAGTGCCGCGACTATTTCCTATAAGTGTAGCCTCAATGGTTAAAAGCTCTGAACGATACTCCTCACGTACTCAGTGAGGATCATGTCGCCGTCATACAAGTACTCGTCGATTCCTTCAACATGATTTACTTCTTGGATTGGTGCTATCCCACCGATCGCTGATTTCAGTCCTTCAGCTGCTGCCTGGAATGGGAGCGCTCAAAATTCCGAAATACACCAACTTTAGACAGGAAAAGGCATCTCACATTTGTGGCTGTTGCAGAACTTGTTTTCCGCTTCGTTGAGGCAGTGGACTTTCCTGCTCCGGTGCTCAGCCCCAAACCTTTCATGCCAAGCATTCTCAACCTCTCGTGACGCTTTTCAAGATCTATTCCTTTAAATGCCTGAAAATAGGGCTCATATCAAGAAAAGACGGCAAATTTTCGAGCTTGCTGCTTATTTTGATTAGTGAAGTGAGGGGTGAGTCTTGAGCTTTGAATTGTTTATGCACGATTTTTTTATCGACTAGTATAGGTTTGAAGAGTTAACGGCGAAAGGCACAGCTGTTATACCCAGTAACCTATTCACCACATCTTCAGTTATGCTGAGAGCAGTTCGGCCACAGGCAGAGGCGGGGAGGGAGGAGAGGTGGAGCAGTTTCCGCTTTCGTTGTTTCATTAGTTCCGGTTTACAAGTCTCACTCTGGTGAAAACTGTGAACTCTTGTGAGCTGAAGTAAGCTTGTTAAGCCGCCATGATAAAGCCTGTCAATTCAAGAAGTCGACATGATGGGAAGTAGCAAAATCTCAGAATGCACCACCCGTCGCCGAACTGCTCCATAGTGCTGATGCACCCTTTGATTACTAGTTGAGGGTAGGAGCTTTATACTTCAATGAGCACCTTTGTCAAGGCAGCTCTGCCTTTCTCAGTAAGGCAGAGGCTGGAGTCGAATAGCACCATGAGCAGAAGCAGTTTGATCATCATTGTGACACTGCAGACCACGCCGATGCTGTAAGGCAAAATCTTCATGAACGAAGTTATCATGTCTATACAGAATGGTGAGGGTACAACTCACGCCGATCGCGTAAGCTCTGCGGGATCAGTTGACCATTGCACCTTCCTTAGGTTGCGTTCGCACTTTGCCGCAGCGTCTAGCATGTCTACCACCGGCCAATAGCGTATCGGGCCTCCGGCAGCGTCAACGACTGGGAGAGCCTTGATATCGATCCGACGTCTACCAGCGTCTACCAGCGTCCGCCAGCGTCCGGGAGAGCATGGGAATCAGAGGGGTGGCAAGCGCCGTATTAGGCGTCATAATTTGTGCGCGACTGCACCGCACAGCCGCTGAAGCACAGAATTATGTAATTTAGAACACGCTGAGATTTCATGACGCCTAATCCAGTTGTTCGCTACCTCCTACTTCTCCATACCCTCCAATTCCGGTCGCTGGTAGACTCTGACAGACGCTGACAGACGCTGGTAGGCGCTAGGTCGGCATCTATATTTCCCTGATCTCTGACGCTGGTGGACGCTCCCGCAAAGTACGGGCGCAGCCTTCTGAGCCGTAATCTCAAATTCACCATCGAAACGGAAGAGAGATTCAACCAGGAAGTTGCAATGGCCCGCTCAATAGATCTGTGTAGGTCAAGTTCTAGGGCCAATGTTATGAGGGTGGCCGTGTAATGCGAGAGAAAAAGTCAAGCGATAGGTGCAACCAAAAAGCAATTTTTGGATGGAATTACAGAATGGGGTAAGAACTGTCCTGATGCCCTTATATAGTGCCCACTTTTCCTGGTAAGATCAAAAGATCCAGTTGGACTCTCCACAACTGCTATGTACTCTACGAAGAGTTTCCACGCGGAAGTTTTGAGATGTAAAGCTCCCATGTGTCGCTTTCAGATTAGGCGTTTGACTTCTGTACTACACAGAGATTACGCGTGACCATTGCGCCAGAGGTGTTACTTTTATCAAGTCAAAGGTCAATTTTTTAAGCAGGCCACTCTATTCGACGATAAACAGTTAAGTGAGGTGTTCACTGAGTGCGATGTTGAGCGTCATGCTCATGGCCTAATTTTTCAAATTACTTGCTTTCACTCACGGCTGTGACTTGTCCAGGCAAAAGCGTGTGGACCACTTATTGCTCTGTTTGTCCACTTTTGTGCATGCCCCCCCCCCGCATGCGAAATTTCTCAAGAACCGGGAGGCAAGCACGCATAGACAATGGCCCTAGAAAATGTTCAAGTACATTTACTAAGCCAAGCCCTATTAGTCGGTCCCGCATGAATGGCAGACCTCAGAGGTCTGGTTAGGAGAATAGACCACGGGGGCGTATCGATCCATCTAGACAGCCTCTTCTCGAATTGGATGGTTTTATCATGATGGCTTGACGAGCTTGCTCCAGCTTCACAAAAGCTTCACAGGTTTCATCCAGAGTGAGACTTGTGGAACCGGAAACTGGAGCAACAAAAAAAATTTCAAAATGCCCCCGGCGCCAGCTGCGCCTACGGCGGGAGATCACACAGCTGTTATAGGTCTTTTTCTTCTTCCCAGAGTTAGTCCCGCCCCGTTGCGTGGCGCACTGTTATCGTTAGTCGTTGCTACTTGTTCCAAACCAGTGCATGTTTGGCCGTGGCATTTGAGGTCCTTCTCGACAACGTCTTCGGCTCCTTGTAGTCGCTTGTCCTCCAGTGCTCTCCACATCTGGTGGTCTACATGTTTCCGTACCTACCCGTACCGTCGTAGTGGCTGCTATGGAGCCTTCAACTGGATGGCAGGACCGCCCTGACATACTCGTTCGTGATTCTATCCGGTCCTGTCCAGCAGCAGGCTTAGACTTGCTGATGTAGAGCATGGCGGGTTTCACTGAGCGTTACACCTTGTCTTACCGGCCATCGAAGAGGATCCCATTTTATCTACTCCACATGTCTTTTATCTTTTATTATTTTCCCCACGACAGCGAGCTGCTAGATCGCTCCCCATGCCCTTCACGACGTACTTGTCATTGGAATAGCGATCTTGTCAGGCACAGACAAGCTCGCGTCAAAGTGTGCGTAGAGAAGATCCTCGTCCTGATTGCATCAGCCCGCTATTACGGAAGTAAAGATCTATGACGGCTCTTGTGAAACCGAGGCACGGGTCTATATACTGCTCTGGGAAAGCTCACCCTTACTGATAAAATTGATAGCAATATTAGCGAAGCCCTGGGCTCGGGTCCAGCATAGGCCAACCGTTAATAGAGGGACTAATCACTATCAAAGGGGTACTACTGCCGCAGGCTGGCTGCATGTGCAGAAACACGGCGCTTTGAGAAAGGGGATGTGTGAAGGTGAAAGATACTTTGGCGAGAGCTGCGAAATCAACACGGAGCGCTTGAGCAACTAAGTTGACCGGTCTCTTTGGATACGCGAAACTTAAGAAATTGCTTTTGAAGCCGAGCAAGAAACATTAGCCTAAAGGAAAGCACCCCGGCAGGAGCGCTCTTCGATTTTGACTATGGTGGTATTGGGTCGGCCCATAAGTAATGGGGTTTTTGTTATTTTACCCAGATTTTCTATGAAGAGCGGGAATTCTTTCACTAATTTCTGTGCTATTCAGATAACTTCCCGCTCAATAAATAGTCTAGGTGCCTTCTAACAATACCAGTCAGATCGCTCGGCTGACGCCGAGCTCTCCTCCTTCTCTTTAGCTCGGCAGGCGCACATAATTGAAACGCAACTTTTTCGATAGTGGGCTGCTCATACAGCGCTGTAGTGATCGAATCGTAACAGATAGAGCAACGCTGCGGATCCTGCTTTCCTAAGCACGAGCTTATATTTGCAGGGAGGGGGGGGTGTATTCTGCACCATAGCGCCCATTCAATACATAAATCTGCAGATATAGATAAAATGTGCATCGGCACATTGTATCAGAGCACAGAGCAATATGAATCTCTCAGTAGCAGAACAAATTCCATTCTCACTAACTGCACCAAAATGCTACCAATTAACCCTTCCCTTTTCGATTACCATGCAACCCGCTTGCTGAAGTACAAATAATTGTAGCTCTTATACTCCCTTATTCGTTGTTTTCATGAGTGATTGAAACTTCAAGAGAAAAAATTCTGAAAATTTCATGACTTTCCTGTTTCAGGCGTATTACAACCCTCCCCCTTCCCCCCGCTTCGTCGACGTCAACATCATATAGTAGGATAGTGGGATGAGTTCATTTTCTAGTGCTATCAGAGAAGTGATGGCTAAAGGAAAAGTTTGCACACTGAGCCTTCAATACTTGGCAGTATAGTGGTAGGAGATGTAATGATAATGGCCCCTTATCCTTTCTTATCAATTGATAAGATTGCCTGTCACCCGTCATCAGTTCCCTATCACTAAAGCTCTATAATTTGGTAGTGTGAATGCCCCAACACCCCCAACACTTTGACTGAACAATAACGGCAACGTTCCTATCATATCAGCTGTTATCACCTCCTGTCACCCGACGTGGATGTTCTCATCTCCCACTCTACAGGGGGGGGGCCAAAAAAAAGTCATTTTGCCTCCATGACTTTCAAGGCGCTATAAGTTACACTTTATTAAATTTTTATCGGACATTTTTACTACCATATTAAAGAGCACATTAAATACTATAATGATACTCCGCCACAGCCTTCTGGAGGAGCGCCATCGAGAGATTCGGCCGCGCGAAAGTGAGTGGGTACCGGAGTTGAGCGAGATCGTTGATTTCTCCGCCACTGTAGACCACCCTGTTGAGCTCCGCCCGAACCGAGTAATTGAGGGGGTTTAGTTCAGGACCCCCGCTTAAATACTCCATCTTTTCCAGGTACTCAACGTTCTTCCATTCCAAGTAGGGCACGCCAAGCTTTTTCCATCGTC